CAGAGTACTGGGATTATGAACACACACCAACATACTTGGGCCATTTTATAGCCTTTAGTACCAACTGTTCCTTTTCATTCTTAACTGTAGTTTTAAATCTTTACATGATGACAGAAATCAGTGATTTGTCACTTTTTTCCAGTTACAACATCTTAGGTTTGTTTTTAAATGTCCAAGAAAACAGCAAAGCTGGAAGTCTGAAGACTGCTTGAGATTAAGTAGCGTGCTTCTCCTGTCTGCATATGTTTAGAAAGTTCCAAACCAGTTTTCAAATAAAATCCTCCAGAGAAAAGATCAACCCAGAGGTATTCTGGGTAAGGCAGAATTGGAGGGACACATGCCTGGGCTCTTCTATGCCTCTGCTGACTCCAAAAATCAAACTGAGGTTCATGGGATAGTTAAAACACTGCATTATCATCAACACTACCCAGCTGCAGGATGACATAAAGCCCCTGGGTGCTGGCTGGTAATGAGGCAGCTGACACATTTTGGAGGGGCAGGAGAGAGGCAGATGGTATCTGCTTTGTTGTGACCTTCTAGGATTTGAACTGAAGGTTGTGCTAGGCTTGCTAGGCTAGTGTTCTCCACTAAGCTACAACTCTAGCTACTCACTGTACTTTGCAAATTTTCCTATAGAAAAGAACGGGCGTGTGTTTTTAAAATATTTACATTAAAAGGCTCTAAAACTGAGAAATCCCAAAGGTCATCCTAGGCCTTCATATATTTAGACCTGAAGTGCAACAGAATAATCATTAGAAATAGCAAATCCCCAGTGTTTATCAGAAAAAAAGAACAAAGGTATTCAGGAGAGGCCACTGTGGAGCCAGAGGCACATGCCCTAAACACAAGCAGAAAACAAGGGCCACCTCACCTGCCTGGTCTTCTATCTTCTCTTTAACACGCCCTAGAACTACAAATAAGATGACCTCTTCTTCAATAGAGAACTCCCTGCAAGTAAAGAAAGAAATGGATTTCCATTCTCTTGCAAGAAGGCCTTCAGCAAGAGGCATTTGGTATTATCCTCTAGTTGGTAAAAACCCTGCAAGGTAAAAAACTACCTTCCTTTTTTTTAAAAGGGAATGTGCTCCCGGCTCAAGCAGCCAAAAGATGAATCTGGGTTTGCCAGCTTAGAGACCAACTCCAGCTACCAAGCCATCTCACCCTTACAGACCGGCCCTAACAGCAGCTACATCCTGTTGAAATGTAGCATTCCTAGCCCTCCTGCTCAGGCTCACAGTTGAGTTCTTTACAGCCCAACAAAACACAAAGGCTGCGAGGAGGAAAGTCCTGAAAGCGGAGTCATATGATCCTTGCTGTTGTTTCCAAAAATCATTCCTACCCTTCAAGGAACACTGTCACTTGTCGGTCTACTGCACTAAGCCTCTGTACTCCATTTTTAGCTTTTTGGTTTTGACATTAAAAATAAAAGAAATTTGTTTCAACTCTAAAATGACCGTTGCCAACTTAAAGAAAGCAGTTTTCACTCCAGTCAGGGCAGCTGTGCAGATCTAGGTTCATAACCCAGTTGTTAGATGAATATTAGCCTCTGGCAAGTCAATCCAATTCTGTAATTTCGTACACAAAAAAGCAACTCAGGTAATTTCTACAGAGGATCCAATGAGGGCAGGGGCATGACTCAGTGGACTCTCCTGCCTTACATGCCTGCCTGCGCACATAAGGCCTGGGATTCAGTCCTCAGGACCAAAAACCAAAGCCTAGGTCATAACACACAGAAAGTAGAAAGTAAAAGATACAGCCATCAGGGTTAATCTCATGCCAGAGTCCTGGAAAATCAGTGTTCTTGTATTATCTGATCTAAGAACCACCTGTCAGATCTGGGCTTGTGAAGCAAGCTCAGTTCAGCTAGATTCTGAGACATTGAGACACTTCAACAGAACTGTCATGAAACAAGTGGAGAGTGGACCAGGTTTAAACTGGTTAACAAGATTCTCAAAGCATATGTAGGTTTGGCTAACTTCAGGGCTTTATTTCACGCGTACACGCACACGCGCGCACGCACGCACGCACACACGCACGCACACACACACACACACACACACACTTCATTTGCAGTTCAGTCTGGATTTTCATTCATGGTACTGCTTACTACAAAAAGTTCCTTAACAGCAGGAAAGAAGTCTGTGCCTCTCATCTACACAATGGAGAAAGGCCCATGCATAGCATACCAGGGATATACTCATGGCATTATATTTTCAGAAATCCACTCAGACTTCCTAGCTCTAAGACTCGGTAGTGCTCATTTTTGGCAAAGGGAATATCTCAATTTAGCAGGCTTTTCTTCTTTTATGTTCAAATAAATAATGACTAAAGAAACCACACATTATATATTACTAATACAATTTCCACAAGTGAAGCTATGCTAAAAAAACAGAAAGAAGGAAACTAAAAAACCAGTATAGGGACAAGAGAGGCTGCACCAGGGCAGACTTGGATCTCAAACAACTGCTCCAGCAGTCACAGCTGTAGAAACCTAAGCCAGCCAGCACACATCATCTCAGCCTGGAGGCTACATCATCTGCCTCAGCTGCCACATGAGGAAAATGGGGACAGTAACTCCTGCATCTCACAGGTTCTCATAAACCTAATAGATGTGAAACATAGCAAACATAGCTGGTAAAAGACTCTTCTCCACTGGCAAAACCTGCAAAAGCTAAATCAACCTAAATACGTAATTACTATCGTCACTCCTGCTTTTTCAAAAATTACACACACAGCCACACAGGACAACAGGCTGAAAGCTGAGGTCATTATAGGGTCCAGGGTCAATTTCAGACCTCTACAGACTAAGTAGAATCAACTAAGGCTCTATCCTCTTCTAGTCTTTTTAAATGAACGATGCTGAGGCATGGAACTTCTAGAAGAGCTATTTTCATAATAAAACAAACATGGAACATGTCAACAGGTACTTCAGCACTGCCTGGAGACTGCAGCAAAACACTGGTACCTGGCACAGAAGAGGAGGAGGAAAGGCCAAGGGGGCAGCTCCGTGACATGACACTTACTTAGAATACACAAGGCCTAGGTTCAATCCCAGTACCAAAAGTCAAAACAATAATTAAATTTGAAAAGAAAAGAATTAAACTCCACATACACATTTTTGTTTAAAAAAGGCAACCAACAATAATACTTATATAAAACAAGTAAGCGAAAAGGGAAGAAATCTTCCAGGTTCATTTTCACACAGAACAAAATAATGACTTCATAACTCCAATCAGCTAAGCCCTTGGTTCATTTCACTAAGCTACATGCCTTCAATTCTAGGCTAGTCAAAGTAAAACCTTAATAATCAAAACTCCCAATGTACATCTAAATGCAATATTGCTCCCACTCATTGAAACAAGGGCCAATGAAAGCAACATTTCGTCTTTCCTCCTCAGAGGAAGTGACTGAAGAACTCTGAAGGCATCTCCCTGTTTTCAGGCGGAAGCTGTACTTTCTCCCACTTGCATCTCCAGAGAACCCACAGAGAACCCACAGCCCCGTACAACACACTGCTTGGTGCTTTATGCTGCCTGATTACTTAAATGAATGCAGGAAAGAGAACCTCAGATTAACAATTTAGACTTTATAACTACAATTATTCCCCTACTTGTACTGCCAGCTCTAGCTAAAACTGGGTCAGCCCACTACAAATCAAGGGCAGCCCTCAAGACATGTTGAAGAAACAGACTTTTATAATGCAAATAGTCATTCCCTGGTACCAAGCAGAGAGAGCACTGCAGCACCGCCTGCCCTTCAAGGCAAGGGGCTGGAATGAAACACTCAATTCTGTACCCCAGACTTGGGACCCGTCTTCTTCCATTGACCTAAGAACTGGGCGGTATGCCAAATCTAAACTCCAGCTAACTGTTAATGAAGTGCCGACACAATTTTCTAAAGATAGCAATTTCAATCAATAACCATGCCAGTGCTACTCAGAGGCTGACCAATAAATAAGCAAATAAAGAGCTCAATATCAATATAAAAGAAACTTTCTTCCAAACCCCTAGTACTATTTAAAAACTGTACACATGAATAGAAAGCCTTGAGAAAGAACAGTGAAATCACCCGTGGCATCGATATACCTCTAATCCGTTTCCTAAGATCTGAGCAGTATCAACAGGACACCAGAAATGTAATACTGCTTTTAAAAGAAAGTTATACCAACCTGTATGAACTATGCAGTAATAAAAGCTGATACCACCACTGACACATTTAATTAAACACACTCTCTAAGTAGACCTTCCCATGTAAAGCCATGATGGCTTTGGCCTTGGTTTTATCAGAAGCCATCAGAAGAAGATACCAACTACACTCCTACTGACAGTTTTATTCTGAGCAACCCCCACCCCCACCCATTCAAAACCCCCTCCCAATATTACTTTTATCTGTGGAATTCTCTGCCGGCCTTGGCCTGGAAAACTGGGTGGACCCTGAGGACAGGGATCAAATCTGGCCATTTTTTGGAGTTGGCTTAAACTGATGGTTCCCAGCAGCATAAAGCTGTGGTCTTTTAAACTTCAATTTGAGGTTTATAGTATAATCTTAACTGATTCCCTCCCCACTTTTTTTTTTTTTTGAATGGAGGAGAAAAGGTAAGCCAAAAGATGTTTCAAAATAGAAAAATCATCATTTTAATTATGAAAGCCTCTCAACTCAAAACTGTTAAAGGTAGCCAAATGGGAAATATCAGAGTATTTTGTTTTGTTTTTCAAAGGTTTAACTAATAAACATGAGAATCACAACTTTGAAGTGAGGGGGTAAGAATTAAAAGGCAGGAGCAGGTAAGGGGAGCAAGAAAGGACCCTTTAAGACCTGTGTGCTCAGAAGGGTCCCTCCTAGTGCTCCTCCTCCATGGGGGCATCCAGGCTGGAGGAAAGCAGAGGGTTACACAGAACATTTAGCAGACTTAACATTGGATTAAACACACTACTGCAAGTTTCAACAAATGTTCATGGCATACGTAAAAACACATTTACAACAAGAAAGAAGAGAGGCACCTGGAGACATCTGACACTGGGCATGCTCTGCAGGCAACTCAGTGCGCACATGCTCTCTACCAGGTTGGCGCAGCCTAGCCACAAAGACCTTGGCACAGAACACTGCAGGATGACAAAAAGGAAGGAAGAGAAGAAGCAGTTAGAGGCCGCAACAAGTCACTCCTTCACACAGGCAGCTTGAGTGTTAGTCAGGGCAGAGGTGCACCCATGCAGTTTAGAGGGCAGGGATGGGCCTACGTTTCCTGAACCCTGGGGAGCAGGCCCTTTTCTGTCTTATGGACAGGGATTGTATGCTGCCAACCACTCATTTCACGGATACAGTAAACAGAATCAAGAGGGAGAGAATGCTTAAATGACAACCCACTAGAGGGAACTATGAGCTTGAGTGTAAAGCAAGAGCACTTGAGAGAGCATAACACTTCCACAAGAGTTAAGGGATTGGAGTCTATCTCACACAGTCTCCGTTGCTTAGGAAACTACTGTAGCAGGCTTTCTGAATGTATCCCCTAACCCCCATTACCATACCATAAAAAACAGTGAGACTCAGTTGTTGAACACTTTGCACAAGGACACACAGCATAGTTAAGCTTCAGTCTGTTAGCTAGCAAATCCCACATTCTTTCAGTAAGACCAGGATGCCTTCTCTACTGAAAAGCTTTGGGGACCCAACATACATTATGTGAATAGTTTTGCATTTCTCTAAAGTAAAACTGCAGGAGACTTAAGAGAATGAGGCAAACAAAGAAGAGGAGAGATAAGTGATAGATACAGGTAACTAAGTACTTGAAACATACTTGTTTTCACTGTCATCAACATTCTGCATTCTCAGAGGAAAAACTTAAGAGTACTGTGCCCTGTAACTTTTCATTCTGGACTTGATCTTCAAACTTGGTGACAAGACTAAATGCCTGCCAGGCAGTGGTGGCACACAACTTTGATACCAGCACTCAGGAGGCAGAGACAGGTGGAGCTCTGTGAGTTCAAGGCCAGCCTGGTCTACAGAGTGAATTCTAGGACAGCCAGGGCTACACAGAGAAACCTGTCTCAAAAAAAACCGAACAAAACAAAAAGAATTATAAGCTTAATTCACTGACTCCATTCCACCCTTAAAAAAAAAAAAACAAAACAAAACAAAACAAAAAAACAAAAAAAAAAAAAAAAAACAAAAACGTGTTGCTTTCAAAGGAATTTTAAAAAAATGTAATGTAAAAATGAGCATATATTACAGCTAATAAGATAGTAACCATCAGACTACAGCATTTAATAAATATTTTTATTCTAACATCAATTAGTTTACAGAGGCAAAAAAAAAAAAACCCAATAATCACAATAAAAATTTTTAAACAAACAAACAAACAAACCCTGAAGGCAGGTGCTTGAGTTCTACTGAAATACTCCACAAATACTAGACCCAAGCCATGTGTTTGTCCCCCCAGCTCCTTGGTTTTCACTAGGAAATGTGCTACAATCAATACAAGTGTATTATAAACAAAGAGCTTTGCTGGAACTCAGATAGACCTGGGTTCCTACCCAGCATGCCTGCTCCTAGTTACAGTTCACTCATGATGTAGAGAATATTGAGGTTATCTGGAAGAGCCATGTATATCCAGGACACAAAATCAGATAAAGCAAATGGAATAAGCAACGGCATAACTCCCCAAGCAATGAAGAACATCACACATTTCCAACCTGAGTTTATTAAAGCCTCAGCATGGACAGAGGTAAAGCGTCTGATTCTCCAAGATAGACTCTGTCGCTCAATAGTTTTGTAACATGGAAAAGTAACCACAGAAAGACCTGTACACTTTTATAAAATACAATGAAAGCAGCTGTCATTTGGTGAGCTCCTCTGACCTGTTCCTATTATGACAACTGTCACAGTAAACTCTCACAGTAACTCCTGAAGGGCAGATACTATCTTGGTCTACAGATGGTCTGTTAAAACACTGGCTTGTCTAAGCTCCACAGGAATGCCAGATGATTCTAACCACAGTGATTTCAACCCCCGGAGGTCCTGTAACAAACACTAACTGGGACAGTAGTTCTATCAACCTGTGTCAGAATGTGGTCAGACAAAAGACCCACAACACATGTTCATTACATGGATTATTTAAGTTAAATAAACTCCCAATATCCTCAATAGTTCAATTTAGGGTTCTCTGGGCATTTCTGTTGTTGTTTTTCCTTCCTCTTGGCAGTCCTGGAAATTGAACCAAAGACTACAAGTAATCAAGAAGTTGAATCCCTAGCCACAACTTTAGGTTTCTTTCTGGACTGTTTAGTTTGCTGACTCACAAAATCACTCAGATCCTAGGCAAAACTTGCCCTGTTGGTTTTTTTGAGACAGATTCTCACTAGGTTGGCTTCAAACTCATGATCCTCTAACCTGAGCCTCCCCAGTGCTAGAGCTACATGTTTGCCAGCATGTCCTACTCTACTGGGGGGGGGGGGGGACGACACACAACAACAACAACAACAAAAACTTTAAAGGACACACTGATGGTCTAATTTCAAGAGTTTATGTTCCTAACACCCACAGTAGACAGACACTTAAAAATGGCAATATTGGGGGCTGAAGAGATGGCTCAGAGGTTAAGAGCACTGACTGTTCAATTCCCAGCACCCACATGGCAGCTTACAACTGTCTGTAACTCCTCACACAGACATACACACATTCAAAACACCAATGTGACTAAAATAAAAAAGAAAAATCTTAAAAAAAAAAAAAAAATGGCAGTGTTTCCTAAAAGGTGACTATGTCTTGCCATGCTAAACACAATTCACCACCATTTCAATCTTTACACACATTACTTTCCAATATTCAGAATAAAAGATGCAATTTCTTGTCTAAAAACCACACAGAGCTTGGTCTGAGCTGGGGCTGATCCCACTAATCCTACATAAGAATGCCAGCCCCAGAGCTGACAGATCTGCTTGAGAACAGGGACAGTGAGGACAGCGGGTTCCCAGGCACCGCCCACCTGCAACTGTAAAGCAACTGCCAAAACTTGTCAGTCAGAAATCACAACTCTCAGCTCAGCTTCCAGGTCAAGATGAGACTAAGACAATGGTAGTGAAAGGTGTTAGGACTGCTCCATTCCCACACTCTCAGTTATCCACAGATAACTGACCAGATACACTGCCGGAAGTCTTTACTGAACAGAAAAGGTTACTGTAGGAAATCCATATGCCTTGTAATAGGAAATCCACACATACTGTCCTAAGCACAGGTCCTTTTTGTCTAAAACAAAACAAAACAAGAAAACCAGAAAGACATGGGTCCAACTTGGAAACAGGCAAAAACAAAAGTTCTGTACTCATTAATCTAAGAACATCAAATAAAATGCAACTAGGACCTAAAGAGTAATTAATTTAAATTTCAGGACGTGGTTGGAAACTCGAGTTGTCATTTGTTGCTCGTTTTGTTTTTCAAGACAGGGTTTTTCTGTATTGCCCTGGCTGTCCTAGAACTGACTTTGTAGACCAGGCTAGCCTCAAACTCAGAGATCCACCTGCCTCTGCCTCCCAAGTGCTGGGATTAAAGTGTGCGCCACCACGCTTGACTAAATTGTCATTTTTTTTAAATAATGAAAACTATCTTCTTGTCAGCTATGTTTACAATGTGACTACTCCTCCCTCCCTTCTTGTATATTTTTAAGGTAATAGTGAAATAACTTTATCTACTGTTATAATAGGTCTGAGGAATTTACCCTGAATATTTACCAGTCTTAACAAATATGTATCAACCTATTTAGTCAACAAGCCACAATACCAAGCAAGCCTTTCTTCTTGCAACCTGAGCTTCAAACCCCAAAGACTCACACAAGGACCATCCCAGAGGCCATAAAATCTCCAATATACATTTGCTGCAAGTTCCTATTTATTCTAATTTAAGATTATTCATATCCATAGAAAACATGAAATAATTCACACTAGGTTCTAGTATTAAGGGCAAATACACAGTCAGGATAAATTCTTTTTCAATTCTACAGTCAAATAAAACACTGGCCAGGGAATCCAACTGTGCTTACTGTTTCTGCCACATTCATCACCAGCTGGGAAATACTTCAAGTCGATAAAAGACAAGAATAATAGCTTTTTGGCATTTTTCAAAAGCTGAAAGTTTATTAAAGGGGGTAACAGAGAAATGTCCTAGGTTTTCTTTCTATTACCATAGGAACCACAAATCAAATGAAAAAGTAGTTGCTGCCACCTTGTCTTCTCATTGCCCAGCTTGCAGAGCCTCACAAAGGCTGCCGCTGGTCTATTTCTAGATAGGATTGCTCTGAATCCCCTGCCCTGATTCCTTCTCAAAGAGGTAATTCTTTTAAGGCAGCACACAGAGGTATATTCTGTCATCTCTCTAATGTTTCCTGATTTAGAAATCTGCATTTTTACTGGTTTCCTATAATTCCCTCTCAAGTATTTTTCTTTAAACCACTTCCTACCAAATCAAATCACTACCTTCAGCTAAGTCCTACCAAGATGACCAAGATGAGATGTCTTCAACTCCATCTCATTCAATAAAAATATATATCTGAACTTGTATCTATCTGCACAGAAAAAATAAAAAGCAAGACTTTCCCCTAGACACAGGAGGTTATCTGGACAACATCTAAACACACATCTATACCACAAACAGACATCCTATCCAAAGGAGGAGGCAACTAAAGCTAAAATGATTAGTATGGGACAGCTAGGAGAAAAGATGAATTTAAAGCAGAATAAGGAGAATAAGCAAAGCTGAAAAATTAAGAAATAGCACAGTAAGGGCAAAAGCCATCTGGCTATTCACTCTTAAACGTGAGGCCGCAGAGAAGGCTCTGCAGATAAGAGCACTTTCTGCTCTTCCAGAGGACCTGAGTTCGATTTCCAGCACCTGTGTTAGGTAGCCCATAATCACCAGTTAACTAGAGCTCCTGAGAGACCTGACACCTCTGGCCTCCATAGGCACTGGCAGTTTCTGTGCACATAACCACCCATGTAAACACATACACATATACATGATTTAAAATAATAATCTCTTTTTTTTTTTTTTCTAAATGGGCCATGGGTTCTTAGCCCAACAAGTAGGAGATGGGGCATACTATTAAACACACGAG